AGAGGCCCCCAAGACCGCTCCAAGACGGCCCACGAAGCTCCCAAGACGGCGCCGAAACGACCCAAGAGAGCCCTCAAGACGGCCCAAGTGCCGCCCAAGACGGACCAAGAGGCCCCAAGACGGGCCCAAGAGGGACTCAGGAGGGATACCGAGAACTCAAAAATGGAGCCCTCCGTCCCAGAAGGCGCCCAGGAGGTCCCAAAGAGGCCCCAAGAGGCCTCCAAGAGGCCCCAAGATGTCGCCAAGAGGCCCCAGGAGACTCCCAGGAGGCCCAAAAGAAGCCCCAGAAGGCTTCAAACATGTCTCCCAGGCGCCCCCGAACGGCCTCTCAACAGACCCCAAGAGGCCCCCCAAAGAAGCATCTTGACGACGACTCTATTTCGCCCCATCGAGAGACGACCCCCAGGGAACTGCTTCACCATCAAAACTCCCCACGCAACGCGTCCGAACGACACCCGCCCCCAAGAGCGCAACATGGGCAACGAACACACAGACAAAAACCAGCGATGCCATATCACGGGCCGGCGGAATGAGCGAAGCGATTCAATAAACCGACACAAGTAACAGGCTTCCCCATATTTTCCAACATTTTCTGGGTTTTCGTCTTCCCCCCCACTTCCCACATTTTCCCAGATCTTCCTGGGAGTCGACGATTAATTGTGTCTGCGTGTTTCTTTCCCTCCTGAAGGAGGAGGAGGCATGCTGGTCCCCTGCCTGGCCATTCTGAACCCGACGCTCTGCCAGTCGGCGGAGAGCAGGCGCCGAGGGGAATCATTCAACCGATGGATCTGCGAGACAAGGAGGGAGGATGATGATGATGGTGATGATGAGGAGGAGGAGGAGAAGAGGAGGAGGAGGAGAAGGAGGAGGGAAAGGAGGAGGAGGAGGAGGGAGGAGGGGAGAGGAGGAGGAGGAGGAGGGGGAGGAGGATGAGGAGGAGGAGGAGGAGGAGGCGGAGGAGGAGGGAGGAGGATTTCCCGGATTTCCGCCATCACCTAGTGATAAAAAGGCTGAGCTCAGCTCTTGGGGAACAGGTCGCGAGCAGGAGGAGGAGGAGGAGGAGGAGGAGGAGGAGGAGGAGGAGGAGGGCGGAGAAGGAGGAGGAGGAAGAGCGAGCGAGCGATGTCTGGGCAGCTGGAGAGGTCTCCTGTTCAACACGTGCTAGATCTACCAGTAGCGTTCCAGCACGGCTATCGCTCACAAGTGAGTATGACGAGCACGCGTGGGGAACTGGCCCACAGAGGCCTGCCTAGGCTCTAGACCCACGGGCAGGGCCGATACGGATATTCGAGCTATTGATGCGCTCATGATCGTCTGGCCCATAGCGCCTCCCGAGGAACACTAGCAAAACTTTGCCGGCGATGGCTGGATGACAGAAATTCTAAAAAGGGCAGTGCGAGACGAGCAAGGGACGACACTAAGAGGACGAAAGAGAGGATTACGAATCTCTGAGTTCGGGCAGCTCTAGAAAATGTCTGGGCGCTGCGGCTTTCTGAGAGCGTTCCGGAACGCTCTGAGAGCGTTGCGGAACGCTCTGGGGCAGATTTATCCTCGTCCTAGCCTCGTCTGGAGCGAGGAGCTGCCGCGGAGTGGACAGGATGGGCCATACGGGATGGGGGTGGGTAGGTTAGCGTATGGGGGGGGGGAGGAGGGGGTCGGCGGGGTGCGTGATAGGGAGAGGGAGAAGGGAGGAGAGGAGCAAGAGACATGAGGGAGTGCGAACGAAAGTAGGTATGTGGTGACACACGAGAGGGGGGGAAATGGAGGAACGACCAGGAAGGCGGATGGAGGAAACCACAGCAGGGACAATGGCGCCATCTCTCGCATCTCCCATCACCTCGACGGCTCCTCCATTTGCCGATCAGCGCTGCGTTGGCTGCTCTGCGCTGCTTATGCTGCCGCTCTCATTCCACGCTTCCGTTCCTCCTCCTCCTCTTCTTCCTCCTCATCCCACCTTAACTATCTCCTCCTCCTCCTTCTCCTCCTCACTCTCTTCTCCTGTTCGTCGTCCTCCTCCTCCTCCTCCTCCGCCTCCTCCTCGTCTCCCCCCCCCCTCCCAACTCCTCCTCCCTCGTCAACCTGCACTGGCGCGACCGCGGGCCGGCCCGGCTCGCGCCCCCTCCGCCCCGGCCGACGCTCGACGCTGTGGCCCCGGCCTCTCGGCCTCTGCCCAGTCGTCCGGGTTGTCCAGCAGCCACTCCCGCGGCACCTGGCACTCCCCACCGGGGGCCAGTGGTCCCTCCTCCTCCTCCTCCTCCTCGTCCTCCCTCTCCTCCCCCTCCTCCTTCCCCTCCTCCTCCACCTCCTCCTCCTCCTCTTCCCCTCCTCCTCCTCCTCCTCCTCCTCCTCCTCCTCTCCTCCTCCTCCTCCTCGTCCTCGTCTCGTCCCTCGTCTCGTCCTCGTCCCTCGTCCTCCGTCCCTCCCTCTCCTCCCCCTCCTCCTTCCCCTCCTCCTCCACCTCCTCCTCCACTTTCCCCCTCCTCCTCCTCCTCCTCCTCCT